CTTCTCTTGTCTACGCAGGTTCAGGAGCTGGAGATCCGCTTCGGGTCATAAGAGCAGGCTTTAGGGTTTAGGGTCGTTTCGGGTTCAGAGCAGGCATGGTCTGAGACAAGCAACGATCTGCATACTTAGGATATTGGCATGCAGTTGCTTGGATGTCGGGATTTATTGCCGCCAAAAACCCCGAAATCCCTCGCAGCCCTAACGCCCACATAATCCTGAAACCTATGTCCCCCTAAACCCTGAGTCCCACTAAACCCTATACCTAAACCATATGTACTAGAGTCGGCCTGGGGTCAGAGAGCCTCATGCATTCATGGTAGTATGCTGCTTAACCCTAAACCCTAAACCCTAAACCCTAAACCCTAAACCCTAAACCCTAAACGGTTCGCATTTTCTGGGGGCCCCTTTAGTAGACTCAACCCGAAGGCCGCCCCTACCCCTACTGCAGAAGCCCTAGGGTTTAGGGTTTAGGGTTTAGGGTTTAGGGTTTAGGGTTTAGGGTCATTAAACTCAAAACTTCTGAACCCCCTAAATCCTCCACCTACAATCCTTACTACTCAGACTTTTCAGCCGATTCTGGTGGTTGCATGTCGCGACTCCTTCTGAGGGTTTGGGGCACGGGTCCGGGTTTGGGGTTTAAGATTTAGGGTCTCGTATTTTGCTCGAAAGTCTCGGGCTGCGGCCCCGAAGAAGCTGAAGGGCACAGGACGCGGCCTCCTTTGGCAAAGGGGTAGTTTAGGGCCCTTAAGAATTAGAATAAGGTTTTGGGGCCCATTATACTATAGTTATAGTAAGGAGCCCCCAAAATAATATAAGTAATTAATTATTTTGGCTTCTATAGTAGGTCCCAACTCTATGGGCTTAGGCTTGAGAGACTATGGGTGCTCCAGGGGCTTGAGTTTTGGGGGGTCCCAACTCTATCCTAGAGGTTCCATATTAACCTGCCATGATGGAACTAGGGCCCTGAAGGACCATCCCAATTATGGTTTTGCAGGACCAGGTTTTACAACAGTAGTTCACATTAATATGGAGCTCTTGTCTTGGTATGGCACGAACACAAAGGAAGGTGTTGCAAGGAATACCTGCGGCCCAAAAACCTACCTGTTTAAGGAACTCTCTCTCTCTCTATATATATATATATATATACATATCTCTATATATATATATAGAGAGAGAGACACCACAACGACGTGAGGAATCCTACAAAAGTAGGTCTTTTCGGTTACAAGTACGGTTTCAGGAAAGCTCGAAGGTTGCTAGGGATCTCGAGGGTTGCTAGGCCCTAGAAGGCTTGCGGGTGTAGGGTTTCACGGGGGGGTTTAGGGTTTAGGGTTTCCGGTTTCGGGTTTCGGGTTTAGGGTTTAGGGCTTTAGGGCTTTAGGGCTTAGGGTTTAGGGGGTTTGGGGGTCTAGGGCTTTCGGCTTCATGGTGTGTTTAGGGGTTTAAGGTTTCGGGGTTTAGGGTCTGGGCTGTCGGGATTTGGCTTGGGGATTTGGTGTAAGATAGATCCCTGATGACCAATCTTACGCCCAATCCCCAAGACCCCGTTTCTGCCCAGCACCCGCCTCGACGGTGCGTAGTGCCTGGCAGCGAGGGCGTTTGCAGCTGACGGGCCATTCCGGGCTCCCAAACGCTCTAGCGGAGGATACAACCTTTTACTTTTGGAGGTCATAACGTGTAAAGACGGGCTGATGATGAAATGATCACGTACTTTTTGAGGGCGGGCTATATCTATAGCGACTATTGATAACATACAGTACTTTTCGAGGGCTATAACTATAACTTTAGACGGTGTGATATTGGTAGGATTTGCGGTTACAGGTTTCCAGTCTTGCTTAAAGGGTATAAAGCTCGGGCTTAGGGTGCCCTACACCCTTTGAATCTGAAGCTGTAATTTTATAACCCTTACCCTCAAAGGACTCTTGTGCTAAGGCTTTGGGCCCAAAGACCCTATATAAGGCGGCTAAAGGCAAGTGATTACAGGCTATATGTACAAGCATCAGCCGCCAGGCCGCACGTCGGATTCGTCTGCCCCTGCTTGCACGGAGGTATTCCTGTTGTGCACATACATAACTCCGGCCTCTCGTAAGCCCGAGACCCCAAGAGGGTTTATAACTTTAGGCTTATAGGGCTTATCGTTTTGAAGCTTGAACAAAAGCCGTAAACCCTAGACCGAACCCTAAGTTCTGAGATCATCTCACCGGATCCGCACTCACGAGCAGCTCAAGCCCACCCATCGCATTCTAGGATGCACAGTAACCTACGATGACAAAAAAGGCTCTTGTTCGTATGTTGGGTAGCTTCACATCAAGGGAAGAAAGGTTTACTGGGGGACCCAGCGACCTGGCACTTCTTAAAGAACCCGCCCAGAAGCTGAAGAAAGCAACAACGCTTCAGGCACTAGGGTTTCAGGTTTAGGCTTTACAGCTTAAGGTTCAGGGTTTAGGGTTCAGAAGCTAGGGTCTAGAGCTTACGGTTCAGGGTTTGGGGTTTGGAATTTAGGGTTTGGGGCTTAAGGTTTGGGACATAAGAAGTAGAAATACCTAGAAGTAGGTGGAAATGATATCTGCAAAGGCGGCACGCGCCTTCGCCGACTCCCCACCATCTAGTCTCCCAATCTCAGAGGGCAGCCGGGACACTGGCATCTCTTCTGTCGGTCCCTTACTCACCGATGCGCAGCACTCAGGACAAACCCTAAACCCTAAACCCTAAACCCTAACGCCAGTGTCGCTCATCCGGGGCGACTCCCAGACCCCCAGTCATACGAAGGCAAATGGCGGCTGGCAGGACTGGACTTTCCAGAGGCTCCAATATCCCTTAATTAAGGAATATACCTTAAATCATATTAAGGATCCTACTTTTATTTAAGGAATATTCCTTAATTAAGGGATATTGGAGTCTCTGTGTTTCCAGAGGTACCACTTGGAAGGGCAAGGAGACCCGGGGCACGTCTCGGGCTCACCACCGAGACAAAGGCATGCTCTTGTGAACTCCCTTAATAACCCAAAACCCACATTTTTGTAGGTTCTTATTATCAACCCTAATATGGGATTTATAGGGACCCTACAAAGAAGTAGGTTTTGTGTTCTTAAGGTCGGTCCATTCGCAACAGTTCGTGTAGCGCACAGGCCCAAACAACTTCCGTTGATCAGTCTGGTGAATATGTTTCCGTATCCCGAGCCTCTATTCAAGAACCCATATTGGGAGGTTCCGAAAATTAGGGGTACCTTATTTTGGGGTCCTTATAATAAGGATCCTACTATTTAGGGTGCTATATTAGGGTCCCCTATTTTTGGAAACCTCAATATTAATTCTTAAGACCTGGGGCTTTGGCACTCAGGCTTTGTAAGCTTGCATGCCCCTCATCGTACGAAGTACAGTCTCACACTGTTGAAACTACATCACCAACACAAACACTAAGCACTTCAAGCACTATGCCGTAAGCTCTAAATCCAAAGTCCTTGAACTTTGATCACTCCTACTGCGCAAGGACAAGGACCTACAATAATTGGACCACAAGTGCCGTTCTTCAGCGTGCCAAAAGTACTGTAGGATCTAGTCCAGCAGTAGTAGATAGGACCCTCAACTCTAAACCCTAAACCCTAAACCCTAAACCCCTAAACCCTAAACCCAAAACCCTAAACCCTAAACCCTACACCGTTAAACCCTAGATAAGCCCTATGAGGAGAGAGCCGCGCTTTCTGCAATGTAAACAGAATCAGACCCCACTTACTCAGGCCAGGAACCATTCTTATTAGCCGAATATCTGCCATCTATCTGTCTATCTGCTTATCGGCCTAATCATCTCTACCCATCTATTTACTTGCCTATTTCTCTCTCTCTATATATATATATACACATATTTTGTATATGCAAAAACACACATATGAATATACACATATATACATACACACATACCGTACATACATACATACATACATACATACATACATACATACATTCATACATACATAAATACATACTCATTTAACACATACTCTTGCTATGGCTAATTTATCAAGTTGTTCTGCTTGCTTGCTTGCTTGCTTGCTTGCTTGCTTGCTGTCAATGCAATTACTTACCCGTTCATGTCTGTAAACATGCATATGTGCATGGAAAGATATAAATAAGTCACCACTCTATATATATATATATATGTATNNATGTATGTATATGTATGTGTATGCATATACATACATCACTATATCATACATTATGTGTATGTATATATCTTTATATCGAGCGAGCGAGCGAGCCAGAGAGAGAGAGAGAGAGAGAGAGAGAAAGAAAGAGAGAGAGAGAGAGAGCGCGAGCGAGCGCCTTAATTGGACGTACGCATACAGTCGCCATCGCCTGTGGTGCTGAGATCTTGAGCGCCGCTCTTAACCTCAACCTCAAACGAAAGGCCACAGCAACCTCAACTAAACCCTAAAGCCTAAACCCTAAACATCCGTACGGCTCTGGGAAGTTTATCAACCCAATCAATCGCCTGGGTGCTTCCCGGTTGAAGCATCGACCTAACAAAATAGGGTTTGGGTTTAGGGTTTAGGGTTTAGGGTTTAGGGTTTAGGGATGACTGTGCTCTCGGCCTCTGCCTGCCGAAGTAGCTCTCGCCCCCCTCAGAATCGAGCGATTTCCTGCTGGGTGCCCGGGCCATCCTTCTGGAGAGTACCGATGATCTGCGGTAGATACCTGGTGGCTTCAGAGCTTGGGTTTAGGGTTTCGGGTTTAGGGTTTAGGGTTTAGGGTTTGGACACTGTTTGCAGCTCGAGGTTTCACTTGAAACAGCTGCCCCGTCGACAGGACACTCTGAGCACCTCGCCTACCTGAGTGGCCCAGCCCTCTCAGAGCCATGAACTATCCGAACCAACGAGTACTATGCTGTAACTCACCGTAACCCTAAACCGTAAACCCTAAACCCTAAACCCTAAACCCTAAAAGGACCCCCCAAGCCCTCTCAGAGCCATGAACGGGTCCCTTAAAGCTGCCCCCAAGCGCACTTCATTGCCGCCTCCCCGAGGTATCCCAGGCCCTCAGCGCCACCTGAACTCCAAGCTGGGCACCGGATTCGGAAACTCGGGCTCCACCCATGGGCCCCATAGCAGTTCCGGTTTAGGGTTTAGGGTTTAGGGTTTAGTGTTTAGGGTTTAGGGTTTAGGGTTTAGGTTTTTTTGTTTTTAAGGGTTGGGTTTAGGGTTTAAGGTTTAGGGTTACTTTTTGGGGCTTATATTTAGAATCCTATTAGGGAATCCAGAAAAGGAACTACTATGGGGCCTATGGGTAGGCACATCCTCGCTCATGAGTACTTGGAGGATCATGGGACTTAGTAAGTAAGGTTATAGGTACCCTAATTGGGGTGATGATTATTATAGTTACCTTATTTATAACCCTAGTTACTAAGTCCCATGATCCTCCAAGTATGCAGTTCAGATGAGCTTCCGAGGCTTCAGAGCTGAAAGGTTGACAATTGGATTTTTCAGGCGTTCCCCACATCTCTATGACATCGCTTAGGGTTTAGGGTTTAGGGTTTAGGGTTTGGGGTTTAGGGTTTAGGGTTTCTATGACATCGCTTCTGCATCTCCTGTAACGTGCGACTGCCGCTAGCTATCGAGGACGTAGAAAGCTGAAGCCACACCTATAGTCTCCATGGTAGTTCCTCTTTTGGTTTAAACAGTTATATATTCAGGAATTTATAAAAGTATCCCCCAAAAGGAACAAGGAATTTATAGGGTATCCCCAAGAAGGAGCTGCAATGGAGACTGTAGGCAGAATCAAACAGCCCCAGGTCCCCAGAGAGCCCAATACCCCTTAACTAAGGAAAAAACCTTAAATTATAATATTAAGGCCCCTATAATTTAAGGTATATTCCTTATTTAAGGGGTATTGGGCTATCTGGGTCTTCAGGTGGAGGGAAGTACACTTTTTGGATCCGAAGCCCAGAGAGCCCAACTTACCCCCTTAAAGCAGGAACATAGACCTTAAATTATAGGGGCCTTTAAGGGATCTATAGGGGTTTAGGGTTTAGGAATACACCTTAAATTAGAATATAGGGGCCTTAATATTATGATTTGAGGCATAAGTGCTATTTATTGGGCTCTCTGGGAGCATGCGTCACGTCATGCTAAGCCTGCACAGTACCCAGAGACTCCAAAATCCCTTAACTAAGGAATATACCTTAAATCATATTGGGGATCCTATTATAATTATGCTAAGATCGCCCAAACCCTAAACCCTAAACCCTAAACCCTAAACCCTATATTCCTTAATTAAAGGGTTTTGGAGTCTCCAGGTATGAGAAGAATTCGCACTCCGAGGCCTCTCAGTCGCAGGCCCTGGCTCCCCCCCTAAGCAAAATAGGCGGCCCGGCCCCCCGATGCACCTATATTATGGGGGCTTTAATAATGAGAATCTATAAGGGTTTAGGGTTTAGGGTTTAGGAATAGATCTTCAATTATGGGGGCCTGAATATTAGGATTTACGGTATATTCCTTAATTAAGGTGCTAGGGTTCTGTGGGGACTTAATGTAGGGGCCTTGATAATGAGAATAGGGCTTGGGAGCCCATTCTGCTATAACAATAGTAAGGAACCCCTAAAATAGTATAGGCAATCATTTAGGCACCTAGCATAAACCTCCCGCCTCCTAGCACGGAAAGGGTCCAAGCGGCTTTTGCGGAAAACCTTGTCCTCGTGCTTGTCCAGCGCTTGCGCCAGGACTTTCGCTGCCTCCGAGGCTTGGGTTTAGGGTTTAGGGTTTAGGGCTTTTGACTCGGTGTCGTTTTTGGGATGTACCAGGACCCTCCAAGTACCCTCACATAGGGCTATGCGGTGCCAAACTGATGGTATTTAGGGTCGAATAGAAGGTAGATGGAGGGAGTCCAATAATGTAGAACCCTAAATAATTAGAATAGGGTTTTGGTGGTTCCTCATCAAAATTATAGTATAACATACCACAAACCCTATTCTAATTATGAAGGCCCCTATATTATGTGTGGACACTGGAGTTGGAGAGGTTGAGAGTCTGACAGCATCGGGGCAACGGAGCTTCCGCAAGCTTCTCGTCCTTGAGGACTTGGGTTGGTGAGAAGGTGCCGGCGGGCCTCCTCTTGCAGCTCCGGCGCAGCCTCGTGCACTGACTGGTACTTTTTGGTTCGAATGTGATTCTCAACAGTGGCGTCGGTTCTGATCACAAGATGCTGATGATGTACTGCTGCTGAAGACGATGATGATGATCGCCATCATAACAGCGATGATCGTGATTGGTGCCATCCGTACTCCAGATATGTCATAACTTAACCTACCACAAGCCGGGCTGAGATGCAAAGCATCGGGCCACAACTTGACAGCTGTCGCTGGAAACCCTGCCCTTTAAACTGCGAAACTCAGCAGAACTGCTTTCTTAAATGTGAAGACAGGCACCACCATACGTGATGTCATAGGTCCTGTATCATTCGGATACATGTTAATGAATTCTCTGGGAAGACTTATCTCTAGCAGGCCAGGCGGGAGTGTCAAGTCTAAGTGTTCTCCTCCATTTTTTACTTGGGCGGCTTAAGGCCAAGGCATGTAGCTTCAGCAGGAAGAGGAGGGCGCTTGATTTTTGCATGACTTGGCAACTGAGGCGATTGCAGACGCACCCCATCTGCATGTAAAGTCGATTTGCCAGTTTTGGTAGGGAGGGTAATAATTATGATCGCATCTGTCTGCTTGCGAGTGTACTTGCGACATGTCTTTCTTGGTGTCCTGATGGGCAACACCAGTCTCTCAATAATCGCAGGATGTAACTGCTGTTCTCAGCACAGAATATGTCTCGCATGTTTACTCCACGGACGTCGCTTCGTAGAAAAAGTCCTTCGAATGCGATGTTCACTGCACATGTCTGGCAGGGAACCAGAGCACAATGATACCTCGAGGGACATGACTGTAAGGAGCTTAGGTGTAGATGTGGTCTGCGGGGATCGGCGATGTGTGACGGGAAGTTAAGCAGATATGTTATTCGCAAAGGCGCGAGGCACACTGGCAGGAAAACAAACACTTTCCACAATGTACGTGTATGCATTTGCCATATCTGTATACATAACCTATATATCCATATAAATATATACACACACATATATGCACATGTATGTGTTCATGATAATACGACAGTCTATACGTGTATGTATACATGTGACAAAATACGTGGGTACATATGTAAGTATGCACACTGTGTACACATATTTGTGTAGATGTATATATATATATATATTTATTTATTTATTTGTTTATTTATTTATACACACGGTATGCCTATATATACATATATACACATACACATGGACCAACAAGCGATACAAGCAGATGTACGTACTGCGTTTACCCATACATACAAGCATACATCCAAGCAAGTGTACTTACGTACGTACAGACAGACATACATGCATACATACGTGCACGCACACACAGGCAGACAAACAAACAGACAGACACACAGCCAGACAGGCAGGCAGGCAGGCAGGCAGACAGCTAGACAGACAGACAGATAGACAGACAGACTCATGCACGCAGACATCCACACAGCCCTTCGTTCATCCATTCATGCTTCCGTTGATTCATTCATACCTACATGCATGAATGAATGGATCGTTGCACATGCATGTGTGTATATACACTCAGACGCAAGTACGGACAGACAGACAGACAGGCAGGCAGACAGACAGGCAGGCAGGCAGGCAGGCAGGCAGGCAGGCAGGCAGGCAGGCAGGCAGGCAGACAGACACACAGACACACATGCAGGCAGACGGATACATGCGCACAAATTTACCTCTGCACATGGATTGCCGTGATTATCCTTTCACTCAATCCCGGAGCTAGTTGTCCGAAGCCCGGACGGCAATGCCAAGGCCAATACGTGTTCGCAACAAATGTATTATGTGTGGGTCCACATGCTCGTGTGAATCCCGCTTCCTATACTTTTTTCAGCTCTTCATGTTGCGATGGGCGTTCATAAAAACAAACTCATGCAAACATATGCCGCATGCACCTCTTCAGCACATGAATGAATGGACAAAGTAACGGTGAGCCATCCAATGCAAACACTAATCAAAGTGAGCAACTTACGTGTTTACGAGCCCGCTCTTGGAACGCTGACGCCTGCTCCCCAGTCATTCAACACCTCCCTAAACCCTCAACCCTAAACCCTAAACCGTACAGTAACATGCACTCATTGAACTTATTTCCCTCGAGGTTCCAGCAATCTTTGCCATCTCTAAATTAGGGTCTCTTTTAGGGTCCTTTGTATAAGGCTGCCGTACTATATTGGGGACCTAACAAGGGACCCTAATTTAGACAACTACCCAACCCAGAGAGCCCAATACCCCCTAATGAAGGAATATACCTTAAATCATAATACTAAGGCCCCTATAGTTTAAGGCCTATTCCTTCTTTAAGGGGTATTGGGCTCTCTGGGCACCCTAATTTAAAGAACTACGTACCCTTGCAGTAAGTAGCCCCAAAACCCTCAAATTTGGCCCTAAACCCTAAACCCCAAAAGGGACCCTAATTTAGAGAACTACCCAAGTGGTGGCAGCGCCTTCGAGACGGCATTGGCAGCTGCCACGCGGCAGTGGGGATCGCAGTCCTCTGGCTGTCGGCGGTTCCAAAGGGTTTAGGGGTTTAGGGTTTAGGGTTTAGGGCTTAGGGTTCGGAAGGTTGTGATGTAGGGGCCGTAGAATTAGAATAGGTTCTTTGGGGGTATATTATACTATAAATATAGTAAGAACCCTCCGAAAAATAGTATTGGTAGTTATTTAGGCCCCTGTATTGGGGGTTGCGGTGTCAAAGAGTGCCGCGCTTCATGTCCGTCCCAAAAGCCCGACAGTTCCGCGCAGCTTCTCCCCCAAGACCGCGCAGTCCGTTGCAGCTGCTTGGTTTCGGGTTTATAGGGTTTAGGTTTAGGGCTTAGGGTTTAGGGCTCAGGTTTTGGGTTTAGGGTTTAGGGCTTAGGGTTTATAGGGTTTAGGATGATGCAGATGTTGATGAGTGCGAAGAGACCGAAGAGGATGTGGCCTAAGGAGGAAGCAGTTCAGCAGAGCGGGGAGGAGGCAAAGAACCGAAACGATGTTGAGAAGCGCTGACGGCAAAAAAGATCCCACAAATCAAATCCTCGACGGACAACCCAAAATCCTGAACAGCCTACACCACGAATCTCGGCATTCCGCTAACTACTCTCAGCCTCCAGAGCCTTTTGCAGCTTCGTTGCCTGCAAGTTCAGTCTCTCTGCTGGTCTTGTCAGGCGACGCTTAGACGAACTTGAGGTTCAAGGCTTGGGATGTGGGAGTTTCCAAAAATAGGGGACCCTAATATAGCACCCTAAATAGTAGGATCCTTATTATAAGGACCCCAAAATAAGGTACCCCTAACTTTCGGAACCTCCCATGTGTACAACGGGTAGAGATGACGCTGATTTGGGGGTCGCCTCCCACTCGCACATAAACCCTAAACCCTAAACCCTAAACCCTAAACCCTAAACCCTAAACAAAACCAACGACACCCGGAGGTTGGACCTGCGCTGCCGATTTAGCCAGGCATTTACCCAGAGAGCCCAATACCTCTTAGTTAAGGAATATACCTTAAATCATAATATTAAGACCCCTATATTCCTTAAATAAGGAATATACCCTAAATTATGGGGACCCTAATATTATGACTTAAGTAAGGTATATTCCTTGTTTAATGGGTATTGGGCTCTCTGGGTTTCTGCGACCACCGGCAATCCGACGACCAGGGTTTAGGGTTTAGGGTTTAGGGTTTAGGGTTTAGGGTAACTGCAGATCAGGCAGCGGAGGTCGACTCCGACATAATGGAAGCTACAACTGACCGGACATCATGTGGTGGCAGCAGAGACGCTATTAAATTACTAATGCTACCTCTATTCTTATCGGTATTCAATAGCAACAATAACTGTTGCTAGTGCTGATAATACTATGTCTACCGTCCAAATCATGACTATGACTATGACTATGACTGTGACTATGCCTATTAGTGTTCCTACAATTGCAATAGTGATAGCAATCGCAACAGCAATAGGAAGACTTCCTGTTGGTGTTGCTATTGCTATAACCATTTCCATTACTGCTATACTACAAGCATTCCGAATGTTACTTCTACTACGGTTCCTATTCGTATTGCTCGTTCTATCACTCTCACTTCATACTCATGCATTTACCATAACCATAAATATTTCCTTCTGTTTTGGGCTTGGCCTAGCAAGAAGTACCCAGAGAGCCCAATGCCCCTTAATCAAGGAAGAAGCCTTAAATCATAATATTAAGGACCCTATAATTTAAAGTCTATTCCCCCTAAACCCTAAACCCTAAACCTTAAACCCTAAACCCTAAACTGTATTGGGCTCTCTGGGTAGCGCTTCAGACGCCCAAACTTCACGGCACCTGCGGCGCAGAAGCGAAGCCCTGGTTCGCCAAGGTCTAGCAAGCGGTGCTTCTTTGGGCTGGGGGTAATTCAGGGTTTAGGGTTTAGGGTTTTAGGGGTTTAGGGGTTTAGGGTTTACGGTTTAGGGGGGGGGTATAGTCTAGTAGGGAAGCTTAAGCTTTGGGATTTCGGGTCTTTGAGGTATGGGGTTTAGGGTATAGAGTATGAGGTATGCAAGATGATGCTATACTTATACTAAGGAACCCTCCAAAATAATCCTGGTAATTACTTAGGCCCCTATAGTAGGGTTTAGGATCCGGGCCTTTGGGCTCAGATGTGTGGACCTGGGTCATTCTTGGTCTCTCTTCAGCGGGATCTCCGGCTCTTGCGAGGGATCTCAGGCTCCGCTCGGGGGGCTGGAACTCGGAGATAAAGAACCGGGACAACAGTCACGTTTGGATGTGCAAGTAGGAATTATTTCGTAGCTAGCGCATATATTATAGGGGCCTTATAGTCAGAATTGGGTCCCATTATACTATAATTGTAGTAAAGAATCCCCCCCCCCCCCAAATAGTATTGGTAATTTCTTAGGCTCCTACATTATATAGAGTATGATAAAGCTGAAGCTTCACATGCATGGACACTGTTCACAGTTCACAGCCCATTTTGAATGAAGGAGAAACGCTGCAGCAGAGTGTTGTGATGTGGGTCTACGTAAGCTTTGCGATGGTGTACTGCTTCGCATGCCACAATCGGTGCCACTCGAAATTCGGTCAAAAGCCGAAAATCTCTGACCAAAACCCTTCAAGCCCAAACACTGCGCCTACGAATCCTCGCGCGATGAGAGAAATTTATACCAG